ACCCAGCTTCGCTTCTGAGATTTGATGGGATCAAGTGAGTTGGTTTTTGGGAATTTAGTCATTGGCCATTCTCAAAGTGACTTACACATGTATCCTATTTCACCAAATGCAACCTGTATGACGGTGCTTATATACAGTGGCGTCCCTTGGATAACAATGGAAATTCCACATTACCATGGTGTGGGCCAGGCTGCCTGTGGGAGGACTTTTGAATTGTTGTAACATTCTGTTTGCGGCCGAGCGTGATTGTGCACGATTGTGATCCAGAAGGGTTAGGGTTAGGGGGTCGGAGGCTGGCATCCTGCAGATTTATGATGTTCTCAGATCCGCTGCTGCGAGATGTCGAGAAGTGGCAGGACAGAAAGTAGGTTCGTGAACCCTTCTGTGTGGACCTTTGGGTGGATGTTAATCCTTTTACCCGAGTGTATTTTCCCAGAGTATTCTTCGTTTCTTTCTCACATGTAGAACACCGATGAATGGATGTGGCCAAACGACCCAGTGCAGTACGTATATGCGCTTGAAATCTCGAGGCTGTGTGGTTTTCCCTATAACACAACTACATTATTATTAATCCTTGAGAGAGAGGTATAATAGCCACTTTTTCAATTGTGAGCCAAGTGTGCTTGCCGCAGTACCACCTGGCCGGATTTACAAAAGCGGTAATGTTTTCCAAACACTTATGAATAAAAAAATTCCGGGGAGCCGTTACACGATTAATATTGAATCATCTTTTTGAGTTGGGGTAGTCCGGCCCGGCTTTTCAAGAGGCGTCCAATTCACCGTGGCCCCGAGCTCGCCCGTTCGCTCGCTGCCGCTACGACCGTAATGGTTTTATGAGTGAGACGTCGGGGGCGATCGGGGCTCAGGGGAAGCGGGGTATGAACGTCTGCTTACAAAAAAACAACCCGACCAAGATTCAGGTGGCGATAATGTCCGGGGCAATTTCGCACAGCTGCGGCATCCCGATTCGGCGCCCTTATTGAATGAAAACGCGCTTTATTTTACATCTGTACATTTTTTTAAACGTTCCCGATAAAGTCACATACGGTACGGTTAATGTCCCAACAAATTTGATGGCCGTTTGAAGTTTGAACCCTTGACTTCGGCTCAGTGTGCTCAATATAGTCACTCCTGGCAGCCAAGGGAAACAAGCGTGGCCTCCTTGCAATGTTTCACTCGGGTGTAATCGGATCGCATTTCAGCCACATGGCGTGGGCAGCGCTGGATTCTGTCCTGATGAATCGAATGATACGTTGAACACGTTGGGATCACTCGCGATGTTCGTGGGTCTGTTCTCTTTAAAAAAAAAATATCTCATCATTGTTTACCCAGTGAAGCCTCCTCACTCAAGACTTTTTCAAGAGGGTCCTGCCAAGTTTTTGCAATCGGAGGCGATGTTGCTGCTGAAGTGTAATCCCAGTCGAGTAATTTATTTAGCGTTGGATGACTGGCCAATACAAGTTACATTGTATCGGTTTTTTTAAGAGCTGGAAGGAAACTGGAAAACACTCAGAACAGCAGGAGAACATACGGACTCCACAGAAAGGCACCCGAGTTGGAGATCAAACTCAGGCCCTTCTCGCTGTGACGCAAGAGTGTATCCGCCGCGCCAACATTTTGGTGGGCGAGCGCGCTCGCCGTTTGCGACCACCCCGATTGCCCGTCTTGGCGAAGCGACCTGCTTCGAGCGCGCGCGGACGGGTCCGGACTCTTGCGCTCCGCAGCAGTGTTGGGTCCTAGGAGCCGTCTGAAAAATTCCTTTGAAACAAGATAATGCGCATACCTGCCCCCCCCCCCATTATTAGCGTTATTGACGTGGGAACCCTAAGTGCTCGACGATGTCATTTTTCACCCGTTACGTTCTGGCTAATGAGAGACAGAACCAAGCTCCTTGTCCCTCCTCGGTTTTTCCCCACTGTCCCGCCACGTGTGTCTCATTAGCAATCGCCTCTGTGGACTTTGGCGAATTGATAGCACGACTAAGGACTCGGGCATTTCTGGGATGCCCAATATGCAGTCGGTGTACAGTGCCCTAGCCCCCAAGCAAAGCATAATCCCACGGTCAGGTGGCAGCAATTCTTGCCTCTTGACCAGCCATTCCTGCCAAGCGCTAGAATTATTTTCGTTACAATGCACCGCCACCACCTCGTTTCATAAATGATCCCACTGCTGTCCAAATACCCTCTCGAGATGCTCTGTAGAGCTCCTAGTGGGGGCCCTTCTGCCAGCATTGAGTTGAGCAAGAAATTGCAGGGTTGCACATTTACCTTTTCTCTCAATGCACCTTGGGTTTTAGGAACTCTTATCAGAAGCATGTGAAAGAGCACCTTTGATTAGCACGGTTAACTACGTACGGTGCGAACAAAGTTCAACATACATACATAGAGAGATAAACATATACTCATTGGTTTTTTCGGTAAAGTCACGTATGTAGAAATACAATAAATTTATATTAAAACAAAAAACAATCACGACGTTTCGATCACAACGCAAGCGATCTTCATCAAACATATCCCAAATACCAACCACCTCTTATTTTCAAGATATGTACCTAGACTGTGTCCTGGTCTGTCCAATGCAAGTCTGAAACTTCTTTAAGGACTAACGACATTTTAAACTAATGGTGAAGTGTGCCATTATATAGCACTTTGGTGCTATTTCTGCAACGTAATGCAATGTAAGTACAGGGCAGATACGAGAGCACGCTATGGCGGTCGTCATCAGTCATGGTCAATCCGCTGCTAGATGAAGCCCCCACCCAGCCTCCCCCCCCCCCACCCCAAAACTGCCGCCACATCTGACGATCCTGCGATGCAACGGTCCTTCCCATGGCGGTGCTCTTGGCAAAATGCACCTCCAAAGTTGTGCGAGTAGAATATTAAAATTGTGCAGAGGTTGATGTTTGTAACTTTTGTAAAATCTGTAAATGACGAGAAGAAAAACCACATCATAACACAACAATATTGCATGCTGGAAACAAAAAAAACGTACGTTTTAAACAACACACGAAAACGTGTTAAAAGCGCATGGTGCCTCTCCTGATGGGTTTTGTGCAGGCTTTCCGGTTTTTTCCCACGCACGGAATTGCTTGTGAAGTCCCGGTGTGAGACAGTGCAGCAAGTAAGTTGCTGACAGACTCTGTGCGGAGTTTGGTTGCTCTCCCGGTGAATGCGTGGGTTTGGTGCAGGCGTTTTGGTTTCCTCCCACGCGCAAAATTGCTCGTAAAAAAAAAACTGAAGGCATTTGTCAAGCATCGTACGGCAAAAGGACACTCGCGCAAAAACAAATGGTCTTAAGGCTCTGCGTCAATTTGTCGAATTATATTTTAATAAAAAACATGAAACGCAAGATTTAGCGCCGGTCACTCGACCTCCGACCGGAGTCAGAACTGAGGTGACTGCGAGTGCAGGCGCTGCATTCGCCTCGGACTGCTGAGCTTGGCAGAGGCTCGCACATCCTCATCGTATTTAACTGCGTTCCACAGCACTGTGTACATTAAACATCTGGGAACCATTAGAGACACTGAAACCAAAATGTGCTACATTGTTTAGAGGTGTTTTTTTTTTTCACTCTGCACCGAGTTGAATACAATCTATACGTCTTTGCCCATAGTACGGTTGTTGAAATGTGCACGCTCAGCGCGTATACTTGCATTTGTGCCTGCACACATTTGTGTGTATATATTTGTTTTGCATGTGTGTGGGGAGTGGTAGTGTAGCGGTTAGCGTGTTGCTCCATGAACCCGGCAACCCGGATGCGATTCCCTCTCACAGCCAACACCTCTGACGATTATCTGAACCGGTTCTGAACCTCCAACAAGGTCGACTCGCTCTCAAATGAGTACCTGGTGCGGTGTGTAAAAATTTTCATCAACCCCTTCGTGTGTTGTGCCAGCCTTCGTGGGTGCTCGCTAACAGCCCTTGCCCCAACAGTCTGTTAAGGCTATACGGGGGGGGGAGTGTCTTTGCCTTGTTTATGCTGCTGCAATCAGGTTGTTTTAATTCAACGCTGTCCGTGTATACAGTACGCAATGCGGTTCACCTCATCTTTCACCGTGGAATGCAGCCTGTTGTTTTGCGAGTTGGTATTTTTTTTTAATGCTGTGCTGCCCCCATCGGAATGGATGCGGCACCGGATTCCTCTCAAGAAGAATTTGCTAAATATTTGTGTCTCAGCGTCTGCCACTTTAAAAAGGTCCGAAATAGATTTTTATTTTGCATTTCTTGTCAGCGGGGGGGGGGGGGGGAGCCCATAAAACAACTGCAGGCTGTGTGACCACCCGGCAAAGGGCTCGACGAGGTATTTTTTTTGTTCCGTCGCTTTTCCTTTCTGCAAAGTAACAAAACTTAAATTCCGCATGACTTACGATCACAATGTATATGATTACAGAGGCCGGGCATGACCCTCTTGGGATGTCACATATGCCGCACTCTAACATCAAGTTTAAGAGTAACTGACGTATTGGATTGTCGCACTGCACTCTTATTTTATTGACCGAAGAGAGTGATGCAAGCCAGAGTGCCTTTTTAACGCGCCGTCTTTGTAACCATAATAATTTTTGCCCTCTTATTTGGTTGTCCGTCAGTTGAGCTGCGCACGGCTCATTTGCAAGCGAAGCCTTATACGGTGTTCCGACATGTTTTCGCTGACACTGGCCAGCAGTAGCCTCCTCGTTTGTTCGGTGACGTTACAGATTCTTCACCTGTTAAGACTGCAGGTTAGCCTTGGTGGCCAGGCGGCTTGGAGGGTCAGAGCGCTGAACTGGCACTGCTGAGGTCCTGGGTCAGACTGCAGGCAACCAGCCGCCCATGTTATAAACTAGGATCTCAAGTGTTACGAGTTTATTGTCACCAGATTCAAACCCAGCCTCTCAGTTCAGTGCCCCTACTCTGAGTCATCACAGCCACGCAGTCACCTTCTGTCATGCAGGTTCTGTATTTAATTTTTTTTTACGTGACATGTGTGCTGTTGTTGCTGCTGCTGCTGCTGCTGCTCAACAGTTGCTACCCCTGGTGGAGTTGGCCATTGTGGACCCAAAGCTGCAGCAGTCGCCAGTCTTCACGCAGCTCTCCGAGCTGCTGGCTCATTGGGGGCGGCGATCAGAGGACCCCGATCTCCCGCCAAATCAGAGGCAGGCTTACTGCGAGCTGCGAGCTGCATTCTGGGAAAGCGTCGGGAGCACGTGTTTGGCACAGGTAAACTCGCGCGCGCACACACGCACGGCGGCGAAGAATCGCGGTGAAACGCACAGCGTTGTTAAGAGATGCACAACCCTCAGAGCTTTGCCCAAAGGAATACGTGACAAAGGCCTTCTAATATCAGGAGTTAGATGTTGTAAGGCAGTGGATGCTGGATTAGCACAGTTCTGATATACAGTGAGAGAAAAAAGTATTTGATCCCCTGCAACAAAGGAGTGGCTCATGAAGAAGCACATTAAGGTCCTGTAGTGGCCTCGCCAGTCTCCAGCCCTTAATCCCATAGAAAATCTGTGGAGGGAGCTGAAGGTTCGAGTTGCCAAATGTCAGCCTCGAAACCTTAATGACTTGGAGATCTGCAAAGAGGAGTGGGACAAAATCCCTCCTGACATGTGTGCAAACCTGGTGGCCAACTAAAAGAAACGTCTGACCTCTGTGATTGCCAACAAGGGTTTTGCCACCAAGTACTAAGTCATGTTTTGCAGAGGGGTCAAATACTTATTTCCCTCATTAAAATGCAACTCAATTTCTAACATTTTTGACATGCGTTTTTCTGGATTTTGTTGTTGTTATTCTGTCTCTCACTGTTCAAATAAACCTACCATTAAAATTATAGACTGATCATTTCTTTGTCAGTGGGAAACGTACAAAATCATCAGGGGATCAAATTCTTTTTTCCCTCACTGTAAGCAACCAAAAAGAGATTTATTTTCAAGTCTCCGTATTCATAGCCAGTAATTGCAGCTAATATATTTTTTTCATTAAATAGAGCTTTAAGCGAATACATGTCTTTCCTTTCTCTTGAGTAGACCAATGAAATATACAATTTTTTGTGAAGTTAGCAGTGGTTGTCCTGCAGAAAGACTTGCCCCTGCCATGAGAATGTGGTGTTTAACCTCCATCCGTGCACACCAGGGTTGTTAGCGAGAGAGGAGGTTTGCCGTGTATATATACGTTTGAACAGGAAAGCGCTTTGATATTTTCTTGAGCGTTTTTCGATAGCACGGCAAGAAACTAATTTCCTACAATTGCTCAAATTGCAACATGTAATCTAATCTCTGGTAATTGAGATTACGAACCTTTTGTAATCTGTTTGGTTGTTTTTTGTTACCTCGAAGGTATTTTGGTTTACTGTTTGTGAGCGTAGTATAAAGTAAATGGAATCAATACTGCTGTTTAATTTTTTTCAATGTAATATTTCATGTTTATATAGTTCAGATGGGCAACTGTCAAATAGTTTTACCCTTTATGGCTACGCTCCCCTTTGTTCTTTATAAATGATGCTAATGATGCTGTTGAAGATAAACTAGCCTGCGCAGATTACATCAATAATTACCAAAGTACCGATGTGATTACAGTAATTGGGGAAAATTAACCTTTTATAGTTAATGCTCCACGGACGTTAATGATATCGGTTAAAAGTATGAAAGGGAAATGTACAGCAAAGTACAAATTAATAAAGACCGTTAAACAGACAGATTCATATCTCGATTGCACCAGTTCCGCGTGACAACACGTTCAAAAGACACCTGCGCAATTACGAAGAAAACAAAAAACAAAACGGGCACGAGAAGAATCTTTTCGTCAACGTTGTCTTGTGATAGACAATAAATATATTGTAGGCAATGGCCCTCCCATCGGAGCGGTAATAGAGCAGACCGTTTGGCTGACTTTGAGTGCTATAGCACACTTTACTACGCAGTACCTTGAAAACACTGGGACCTTTAAAGCGATGTTACGAGCTGTTTTTGAAGAAAACTATTTTTACTGTCACAATGGAACAAAAAGATCTTGGCATGTCGACTGACTTAATGCTTTAATTGATCTCCAATATTCTACAGAGTGCCGTTGACTAAGACTGTCTAAAATAAAAATTCTGGCAACGTTACTGCGGCATCCCCGTTGCCGCGTGCGCGTGTGTACGCCTGTGTGTGTGTGTGCATGTGTGCGTGTGTGTGCACGTGTGAGTGTATGGGGAGCGATAGGTAGTGTCGCGGTTAGTGCATTGCGCTACAAAGCCGGGGACCCGAGTTCGATCCCTGCTCACAGCCAACCCCTGTGATGATTATCTAAACCGTTTCTGGGCCTCCCCTAGGTCAACGCTGCCTCAAATGAGTACCCGGTGCGGTGTATAAACATCGCCACGAAGGAGACAAAGGCGGCCGGGCGTGGTGCTGGCCACCTACCCCCTCGTGTGCCTTGCTGGCCTTCATAGGTGCTCGCTAACAGTGCTTGCCCCAACAGTCTGTTAAGGCTACATGGGGGTGGGGGATCTTTGTCTTTGTTGTGCACAGGTGGGCGCGCCGCAGCCCGAGCGGGCTCTGCTTGGCGTCGCCGCTCTCCTCTCCGCCCTCCGCCAGCCCGGCGCGGGCATGGCACAGCCCTCGGCCGTCACGGCGCGTCGCACCAAGAAGCCGGGACGCATCCGCTTTGCGCCAGAGCCCGGAGTAGAGCGGGCCGAGACTGCAGGAGGCGGCAGCGGCGGTGGCGATGGCGATGGCGGTGGCGATGGTGGTTGCGGAGCAGGGGAAACCGCGGGGCGGATTGAGACCGGCGCGACGGACGCCCCGGGTACGCGCGTCGCATCGCCGTGCGCATTCCGGCGTTGCGCTCGAGGATTTTTTTTTGAGAAGGAAGATGGCACGCCATTAGATGTTTGGGTTAGGCCACGTAATGATGTTGCCAAATTGGTTGTTGTGTAACCCTTCACCGGCCGACATAGCTAAACAGGTTCAATTGTCAGACGTACAGGCGTATATAACACGCTGATTGTTATTGTTTCATCTCACCGGTGAATTGAAGAACGATTCTGACAACCAAATTCAGTAATAAGATACGACGCAGAGTTTGAAATGACACCAAGCATCCTCCTTGGGTCATGAAACCAGAAAGTCAGAATAACCTTTTGTTATGACAGCACAGGAGCAACCAATCATACGGTCGTTAAAAAGCACAGCACATTTCGATGTTGGTAATGATGAGAGCTGTTCAGTGGAGGCTCATGAGGACTGGAGTTGCGAAACGCTGCCCTAAACAACATAGGTACATTTTGATTTAAAGCTTTTGTGACTGCAAGGATTCATATTCTTGGTTCTTTCGGTAAAGTCACGTGGTTTTCACACCTGATGATGATTGCTTGTGTTGCAGTCGAAACGTCGTGAGAATTTTATTGTTTTATATATTTTTTTTATTTTATTGTTTCCCTTCTACGTGACTTTACCGAAAGAACCAATAACATATGTACTAGGCAATGTGACAGCTCTTCTGCTATAATAATGAAAAAGTTAAATTAACATTTCATTTTGTAAGATCCTGTCAAACAGGTCCCAGTAAAGAGCGCAGAGTGCGAGATTCCCTGGTACTCGCCCGGCAGAGGTGGTGTATGACGACATGCGGAGCGCCGGCTCCCACAATGCACCGTGCATTGTGACGTTTATTTATTGCCATGTCCTCTTCACATTGTCCTGAAAGGTAGGGCAGTCTCGCCATTTGGAGGCTACTAGAGGGCGCTTTAGAGGCTGCACGATTGTGACCTTTAAGTCTTTTTTTATCATTAACAAAGCCCCAAATGCTTGTCTTACAGCCATTGAGACGGATCCTCGACATGCACTTTTAGAACATGAGTAACCGCTATTTGGTTGTGCATCTTGCTTGACGTGTATGTGTAGTTTCAGCTGTTCATGCTTTTGGCATGGTATTTTTTTCCCACACAAAGCATGTGTAGACATACTTTTGTAAAAATGAGTCCTTGTCATGTATTAATTTGGTGAATTTCCACAATTCGGGGTCATCATTCAGTTCATGAGGTGGTGGTGGTGGTGGCTATGCACGTGGCCTGTAATCCTGCACTGTAGAGGCGAGGGTTGGTGGATTGCACAATTGTTGTGAAACTCCCTTCCAGTGGGCGTTGAGGAGGTGCCGTTCCCTGGCTAGCAGGAGGCAGTACAGCAAGTGGACTAATCGCCGTCTGTTTCCAATTTGACCCTTGCGTGCGTGGGTTTTCTCCAGGTGTATAAACACTCAGTAATTGGCTGAAAACATCCTAAAATTTAAACTATAATGCAGGACCCTCCTGAAAAAGAGTCCTTGGACTCAACGTTGCGCTCCTGGAAAAAAAAAAATCCGTTTTGTTATTGTGGTGTGTGTCGTCGATGCCACAGTGGCTGCAAGGCTTCCATGAGCTGAACAAATAAATACAAGTCCAATGTAATCAGTTGTTACGCGTACTATTTGATGCATTTATCTTGAGCTCCATTTAGCGCAGGGGTGGGGAACCTTTTTTCTGCCAAGGGCCATTTGGATATTTATAACATCATTCGCGGGCCGTACAAAATTTAATTTATGTTGCTATGAAAAAAGCTCCTAGATTTATTGAATTTAGAGTCGTGCGATTGCCTTGGCAGGGCCACACCAAACGATTTCGCGGGCCTTGTATGGCCCTCGGGCCAGACGTTCTCCACCCCAGATTAGCGGATCATTTGATGAATCGTGGCATGCCCGGTTATAGAGCCGATGATCACACGTTGATCTGCCTCTCTCGCGACAGCTGGAGCTCGGAGTTGGGCCTGAATCCTCTTGATTTAACGTGTTGTTTGTGCAGCATCCCTAGCACGTAAATGAAGCTCCTCTTGTTTAATGCGTGTTTACGCCGGGCTGTTTGAAGTGTCCTAACTCACTATCGTGCTCGCGGGAGATATGCATCCCTCCGCGTGTGTGATTCCCATGGTCTGAAATTTGCGGGATGCTGGCGTTATTTAGTGGATTTCGCACAATTTGGTTCGGTTAAATTTCCCGGCGTGGCAGTTGAAGCAATGGTGCAGGTTTCTTAAATCTCCCATGCCTCTGTCTGCTCAGCAGTCTCGAGGGGGTCGTACGGTGCGATAACCTGCGAGTCCTACCATCTCTCGCAAGACATCTAACCAGTATGGAAGAGTAGGCTAAGTACCCTCTAGAAGGTCTCTAGAGGGTACATTAGCAGAGGCCCTTCTGCCAGAAGTGCATGTATATTGAACTTCTTTCACACCGTACATAGTCAACCGTGCCAATCGGAGGTGCGGGGGGGAAGGATTTGAAACTCGCACAAAAAGCAGTTCTGAAGATATTAGTTTTCAAACGATATGATTTGAAAGTGCATCGCTCCAGTGGCTTCCTAATATTGGACTAAAGAGCGTTCCAGATGGCAAACAATTGCAGTGCTGCACCTTTTACCTTTTTTTCCCCGCTTGCAGTATCTGACGATTCCACCGGTGCCAGCGAGGACACCGCGGCCCGTGACCCCGGCCCGGACCCTTCCGGGCCCCTGCCTGCGCTGTGCCGAAGCGCGGCGCGACTCGGCCTGTCCCGCGCACGGGAACTCGGCTCGCTGCCGCACCTCGACTTCCTCTCTGCCGTGCTGGCACTCTGTCCCACCGACGACACGTTCCGCTCACTGCTCGGAGAAGACGGCGGAGTGGCAGAGATTCGCGCGAGCCGTCCGTCCGACGTGCGGCCCGAGGCGCGACCGAGTGTCGCTGATGAGCGGCAACGCGCCGACGAGGTCCCGGGACCGTTGCCGGCGCTGCGGTTCCTGCGTGACGTGCTGCTGCCCTGGCTGGGCGAGTGCCGTGCCCCGGAGCGAGCCGCCCTGGTGGAGGTGCTGTTCAGCGTCCTGCGCGCCTGTCGCGATCAGAGGCAGCGCGCTGATATTTTGGACGACGTGTGCAAGGTGTGGCTTTCGAGGGGGGAGTGCCTTGTGTGTGCCTGTGCGTATTTTGCCACCGTCGGTGTCATCGCTATTGAGTGACGCTGCTTGTGGTTGGTTTTCTCAGTGCCACGTGGTTGTGCTCGGGGAGACCAGGTATTAAGTCCTTGCTAATCAGTTGTAAACCAGTTTAACTGCCCATGTACTTGCCTACATGTCTACTTACTTAACACTGCAACAACCACTCTATCTGCTTCAGACTTGATTCGAAGCTTTCGTGAGTAACTCTATCTGCTTGCCTGGCTGTCTACCTTCCCACTTGGCTACTTGCTGTCCTGCCAGACATCTCATCATCATCATTAGCCATGATCTATCCATTGTTGGATAATAGCGTCTCCTAGCCACCATCACCTCTCGTGTTCTTGCGATGTGACAATCTCATCGAGCACCTGTGCACGAGTTGATTTTATCGCTTCGTCTTTGCGAAGGATGTACTCTCTCGGCACATTCGTTGTTTTTGGCTTATGCGCTATAGCAGCTGTTTGTTCGCGGTGGTCAACTCGGGCAAACACTGTCCAGGATCAACCCTGCCTCCCTTGCTCACTTCCGATATCTGCCGATGCCAGGGAGGCATTTTTGGCGATTAATTCCTCGGCGAGATCGAGCTAAAACAATAAAACGGCACTGCAGTGCGCAAACTCCGTGCGACGTTTTGCCTACGCCGTTGTCAGCCTGGCCTGCGAATTCAACCCCAGTGAAGCCTAGAGAGCGGAATGGAGTGCAAAAGAACTCGCAAACGAACACCTTGCGAAAGACCCAACGTGAGAAAATGCCTGTGTTTGATCATCCACGAAGCTCACGGTTCACCCTAAATCGCATCCATTGCACATTCCATGGCAGCAGATGCGGGATACCTGATGCACAAATGGAAAAGTAAAAACTTCATTAGCGTGCGACCAGACTGTGCAACGTATAATGATGCAATGCCCGAACTGCAGATATACAAAGGAGACATCGTGGCGATACACTCGGCTGCTCCTGATGCGGTTACCTGGGCTTGACCACCTGAATGTGAAATCGTAGTTGTTGCTCTGCGTCTACATCAGCCGTACGACAAGCAGAAGAACGTGGGCCGGGCGGCCGGTAGTTGACCCTGATAGAACTCTGATCCATCGCCGGCACGATGCTCGTCACAAAGCCCCGTGGGGGGAGTGGGCTTACGATCGGTCGTTGGCGCGTGTTGGATCTTCGTCAGTGGTGTGAGGACATGCCGCCGGCGTGTGTGTGTGTGTGTGTTGCCCGAGAGGGCTGCTCGCTAATTTCAACATCCTATGCATCGTTAACGCTTTGTTTGTAATAAATCAGCGCGATTCTTTTCTTTTGGTTTTCAACTGTTATTCATCAAGAAAGGCAAGGGCAGCGAAGGCCACGGATGGGGAGGAGGAAAAAAAATCGGGGGAAAAGTTTACGGTGTGTTTGGTCAGAAAGCGATATTCGCAATGAGCTGTAAAAAAATCTCATTTGTAGTTTTCTTTGGCATTTGCAACTGAAATAAGAAAAGCAATCTCGTAATTCATTGTCACAACAATGTAAGTCTCATTAGGCTTATTATGATTTAAAATCTCATGGATTTAAACATTCGTACGCTCACAACACATGCATCCAATCTTGTATGTGTGAGATAATGTACTTTCAGTTAATGACGATCATCATGGAATTATACGCATTAGGATAATGCAGCAAATGAAAGATAACAAATGAGAGACATAACAAATTAAACGTCAAAACACACTGCACAAGTTAATCGGTTGTTTTTCTTCACATCCACAGATGAATCTGGGGCCGTCCGTTCTGCTGCTGCTCATTCAGAAGGTAAACACCAGTGCGCAGCAGCAACAACATCGGTGTGGACGACTCGTGCGACTGACTAATGCACTGTCACGAGTCCGTGTGACTGAGGGAATGGGTGAGCGAGCGAGTGCCTCCTGCAAATTTTTATTCTGTATTTGCAGGGCGATGAAGCTTACATTTTGCGTAATTATACTTTGAGCGAATGTTTCTAACTCGCACCTTAAAATATATACCTTAGATTTTTTTTTTATCGATTTCAGTTGATTCATCGATCAAAACTGATAATCATGTTTTGTGGTCCATAACTCAGGCTGCTTTTAAAACGGTTAGCCACCCCCACATCCTGCCTCGCGGAGACTGGAAACCTCCTGCCAGCCATACCCTTAATGACACTGCTGATCATGCCAATGCCGTAACCAAGCCCCGCTCATCGCCTCCCGTCCAGCGGCACACATAGGAACACGTGTGTGAGACTTGTTTCCCCCCTCTCCCCCCCCACCCCCCCCCCGCCAACTAGTTTCGCGTTATCCGATTGGTCGAGTAATCGAACTGATAAGGAGAGTAATCAATTGCTTTTAATGCATCGGATAGCGCAGCTCTGGTTACAAATTCATGGCTCCCGTTTGCGAGAGGAGCATTCGAGCTGCCGCTCAACAAAGAGCTGTGCAGAGCCCCTGAACAGGCGCTGTCCTAGGTAGGTCTTCCAGGAACATGACATGGCCGAGTTTTTGTTCAGTTGTGCAAGAATGCACCGCCTCGAGACACTGCATTTACATGCAGTTCTCCCCTACTTTGGGATTGTGAGATATTCTTGCAGGGTCGGGCCGTTAAACAAGACACATACTTTAGATATTACGTACACATCTTGACGTGTGTTTATAGCCGTAAACCTTATTGAGTCTCAAAGACTCAAGTTTAAGAAGGTCGTGATTTACGATGTTTGGCCATTTAATTCTGGAGCATTTTGTCTACTGTTTGGATAAATTAACTCTTGGCAAAATATTATAGACTGATGATGTTGTTCGTGAGCAATCGATGCAATCTGCCACAGCAGTATGCTCTTGGTTGGGACATAGGCTTATTGTAGAGATTTCAGATTTAGTTCTGTGATATCTTCTTTGCAGGGCTTTTCTCGTACACAAAGGGTGAACTGCTAGTTGTGAGAGTTCCCAATGGAAAAGCCACACACACGCCTGGCCACCATTGCCCCTCCATTGGTTAATAGTGACCACACCATAGCAGGTACCCTTTATCGGGTGAGTAAGTCATCTGTGGGGAGGCTTGGACCAGATTTAGATTAAGGCTTGCACTTGCCTCCGATGTGTATCGTGAACTCGGGTATTCGGTATCACAACACTGTGCTCACGAATTTGCCGCACCACCACCGCGTCACCTTAAGAATACACGCACACTTGAACATAGAAGCGAGCGTCGTCATCGTCGTTGTCATCGTTTGTGACTGCTCCTCGCATGCAGTTACCTGTCGGGGTGCCAGCACAGACCGAGGAATTCTTTTAAACGTATATAAAAAGCGAGAACAGAAGACAAAAAGTTAATCTGGTGGGGGGCGAGGTCCTGGGGCAAGCGCCCCGGCTGCCCTCTTCGCTCGGTCGTGACCCCATGACGACCCCCATTCTAGTGGCAGGGGACCCAGCAACACAGCGGGGCCGTGAACCTGGGCCCCCGTGTCCCCGCTGTAAATAAGCAGAATTCCTGACTTTGGGGGGGCCAGTGGGGGTGATGGCGGGGGGCGGGTAAAGCATTGCATCCACCTCGCCCGTCATTCGCCTGCCCACTCGCTCGAAAACGTGGACGCACACACACACATGCGGAAGTATGAAAGGATTTCTCTCGACCCCGCACATTTGGAAGTCGTTAGGTCAGGCGGTGTTGGAGTGCGGCCGTTAACCGCACGCCGCCTCTTTCCCCACTCGTGCCATGGAAAAGGTTCCCGGCGGACGGGAGGACAGGAGGGTGCCCTCCAACCAAATTGTCTTCGAGTTTCTTAATCTTTCCCGCTCCCCCGGCGCCTGCCAGCACGGGTGGTCGTGGTATCGCTGTGGGCCGTGCAGCCTTGATTTGCAAAGAAAGCGCTTTGGCAAATAAATAAATAAAGACGTAAATAATAACTTCCACTTAAATCATTTCTGAAACACAGCCAAGAGCTGTGTGCTAAGAAAATATATACACGTCTGTTTGTCTGTGTCTTTTGTAATATTTGTTTGTATCTGCGTGGAGCAAATATTCTCACAATGCAAGTTGGTGATGTTGAACAGGCTGGTATTTCTCAAAAACAAAACTATTTTTATTTTACCAGATAAGGCCCACTGAGATGTATAGCTTTTTTCAGAAAAGACCTGGCCAAAAATGAAAGCTCAATTAAGTGACTTAGCATGTGGAAATTTATAGCAGCCAAATACTCAACGGATGCGGATTCTAAATGTGGAGGGAAAAAAGTGGAGGATCCGGAGAAAAAGCCACACAACCACGGGGAGAATTTGCAAACTCTAAATATAGATGTGTCAGGGTCGGGATCGAACCCACGACCTCCCGTATACCAGGCGAGGTAGTTAATATCTCGTCACCGTGGTGAACAGGTCTTCTGTAACGAATAGGGCCCCGTGTATAATCTTAAGAATTCTCGGCATGACGTCAAACTTGGCTCCCCCTTTTGTGTCGACTCGGTTTATTTATTTTTTGCGTGATGCGACGCATACTTGGGAGCTTGCGGTTTTGACAATCTGTTTTTGTTTAGGGAATAATTGGTTCCGATTTTTTTTATTTATACAAGTTTTTTTTTTCTCTCCCCGTAGAGCCTTCGCATTTTTGCATTGTTTTGTTCGGCGACCACCCTTCGTGTGGCCGAGACGCGAGCACGGAATGCCTTCGCAGCATCAGTCACCACCATCACGGGTGGACTGTAAACAATAATTTGAAGAGCCTTTTTCATTTATCATTCGTTTATTTACAATACAAATACATGGTGGATGTCTGAAAATGCGCGTACCAAAGCAGTGACCGTATTTCACGGGCCGTCGTTTTATGGCAGGAGAGCAAAGCACACTTTCACATCGCTAGAACTTGTCTTGCCACTTGTATTCTGATCTTTTCGCGTCACTTACCTATTTTTCCACGAACTCCTGTGTGTGCTATCGTTGTGTAGCTATATGTTAAAGTCCAGCTGGCTGACCCCTCCAGTCTATAAACAGTCTCCTGAAACACTATTTAGAGTGTTTGCTTTTTTTATTAGGAGCTCTCAGTTCATCGTTGTCGTTAAAACATTTCGCTATTAAAGTCGCCGTGTCTGGTTGCAGTCGCTGATGCCCTCCAGTGTCCGGCGTCTGACCACGGTCCGCACTCGGCACCTCCGATTTGCCGGCCGAACGTCAACCCGGGGCTTCCTTTTGCCACGGAATTTCCCCAAATTCCCCCGTGCGAGGTGAAATTGCAAACAAAGGATCTCGCCGGCTTTGTAAGTAAGAGACGTGCGGAGAGTTAATTTCACGGTTCGAGCAGAACTTGTTGCTTTAGTCTTGATAGAAACCAGCCCAACGCCCGATCGAAGCTCACCTCCCAGTCTTGTCTCCCCACACAGGCCACAGCCACCTGTTTCCTGTAATCAGTGTTCGCTCACTTGTGGTTGTGTTAAGGCTGCTTTTCGTCATTTATTGCAGGGAAGGGTTTACCAAATGCGTAAATGGTAGCCCAAATTAAAATTCCACCAAGCCTGTTATTTTATCATTCCTTCATGGAAAGCCCTTATTATTTTCGGGTAATAAGGGGTAATTAACGGATGGCTTTAATCAGTAAAAAAAAACACCAGAGTTAATTTCTTGGAATAATTGAGCACAAATGTTTTCCCATTTTCCATGCCGGATGATTAAAACCGACGGTTGCAGTGGCATCTGTTGTCTCCACTAACCGCAAAACAACATTCTGAGCTTTGAAAAAAAAACCCCAGATGAAACATTCTACCACCGATGGGTCAAAACCACTCGCCCGATGCCAAATAAAAAAATGTTACATTTGTTTTGGCAGTTAAAATTCTACATATTTTCAATCAAGACTTCTTTGGCCAAAAAAACTCTCGCACACAGAAATTCCAAAGCTCAGATGTGACCCTAGGGAGTCGGTACTTGAAAGAGGATGCCTCGACACCTCTTAGTGGAGAATTAAACAACCCTCTTTGGCGTGCGGCACGACCAGCAGACGTCTTGGTCTGCCCGTCGGTGGCTGACAGTCTCGTGTTTGGATAAGATCCAAATTAGGGGGGGGAGCCTTGTAAGCAGCACCTCTCGGGGCCCGGGTTCAAGTCCCGGTGCAGAGAGTAACGATCGGAACTCGTTCCGCTTGGCCGGCTGCTGACGGATTCCGCGCGGAATGAGGGTTTGACGTTTGTGGACTCGGGACGGCTGGAAAACACCAGTCGGCACGTCGTAAAGCCGGGGGCTGGATTTGTAGCACCGGATTGTTGATTTGAAATTATTGACAGCAAGAGGCTTTGGGAGATATGCGCACGCACCAGGCTCCCATGCTCTAAGCCATTTAGGGCCAGTGACAGGATTGGTTCTTTTCTCAATGGGGGGGGGGGGGGGTATGTTCCGTTTCTCAAGGCACCAGGTTTATTCCGAGTTTGAGCAGTGCTCTGCTATTCCACCGCGTAGCGTTTTGCGGTTGACGTGATGCCTGACATTTTGCTTCAGGAGAGCTTGCGCCTAAGGTTCACCCAGCCTGAAATAGTTCCTCCGATTAGCATGGTTGGCTACGTACGGTGCGAAAGAAGTTCAGCATACATAGTTACCCTTCACATTGACTTGGCCTGTAATACGTACATCGAACAAGGCACAGGCACGCTCCCTTTTATGATTGTATGGGATTGATACAGTTTTGCATACACAACTCTCGCTTACGTGACTTCGCTCTCGCAAAGTCTCTACGAGGACCACACAGATCCTGCGGCCTGCGGCGAGCTCGGGAATCCCAGATGTGGCCTGCACTCGCCACAGGCTGCGCACAGCCCT